GGGAAATTGGGGCATTTGGGGGGGAAAATTTGGGGAAAAATTGGGGGGAAAATGGGGGGAAATTGGGTCGGGGGGGGAGTGAAATTTGGGAAAAAAATTGGGGGAAAATGGGGGGGAAAAATGAGGGAAAATGGAGTGGAAAATTTGGGGGAAAATGGAGAAAAATTGGGGGGTTTTCGGGTGGGAAAATTGGGGGAAAATGGAGGGAAAAAATGGGCAAAAATGGGGGATTTGGGGTGGGAAATTTGGGGGGAAAATTGGGGGTTTTGGGGTGGGAAATTTGGGGAGAAATAGGGGGAAAATGGGGGTAAAAAATGGGGGGCTTGGGGTGGGAAAATTGGGGGTAAAAGGGAACCCCAAAATTGGAGAATTTTGGAGTAAAAGGGAACCCAAAATTTGGGGAATTTTGGGGTAAAAGGGGACCCAAAATTTGGGAATTCCTGGTGGGGAAAAAAAGCCCAAATTTGGGGTTGGAAATGGGGAAAAGGGTGGGAGAGCCCCCAAAATTTGGGGGTAAAAAGGCGGAATGGGGCGTGGGGGATTTTTGGGGGGAATTTCAGGGATTTTGGGTCTCTCGGGCAGGGCCGGAGGCGCTGGGGGCCGAGGAGGAGGAGGAGGAGGAGGAAGAGGAGGAGGGGGAGGGGGAGGACGAGGGTTCCCCTCCCCCCCCGGGCGAGGGCGGCGCCCCCGAAGCGCCCCTCCCCCACCCCCAAAATCTCCTCTGTTGGCCCAAGGTGAGGGGGGAAAAGACCCAAAATCCCCGGAAATCACCCCGGAAAAACATGAAAAAATCCCGCAAAAAATCCCCCGAAAAATCCCAAAAAATCCCCCAAAAAATCCCCAAAAAATCTGAAAAAATCCCCAAAAAACCCTGAAAAAAATCCCAAAAAAATCCCAAAAAATCCTGAAAAAAATCCCCCAAAAATCCTGAAAAAAATCCCAAAAAAATCCTGAAAAAAATCACAAAAAATCCTGAAAAAAATCCCCAAAAAATCCTGAAAAAAATCCCAAAAAATCCCAAAAAATCCTGAAAAAAATCCCAAAAAATCCCAAAAAATCCTGAAAAAAATCCCCCCAAAATCCCCCCAAAAAATCTGAAAAAATCCCCCAAAAAATCCCAAAAAATCCTGAAAAAAATCCCCAAAATATCCTGAAAAAAATCCCAAAAAATCCTGAAAAAAATCCCAAAAAATCCTGAAAAAAATCCCAAAAAATCCCTCAAAAATCCCCCAAAAAATCCCCCAAAAAATCCCCAAAAAATCTGAAAAAATCCCTCAAAAATCCCAAAAAATCCTGAAAAAAATCCCTCAAAAAATCCCAAAAAATCCTGAAAAAAATCCCAAAAAATCCCAAAAAATCCTGAAAAAAATCCCTCAAAAAATCCCCCCAAAATCCCCCCAAAAAATCTGAAAAAATCCCCCAAAAAATCCCAAAAAAACCACAAAAAAATCCCCAAAATATCCTGAAAAAAATCCCAAAAAATCCTGAAAAAAATCCCAAAAAATCCTGAAAAAAATCCCAAAAAAACCACAATAAAATTCAATACCCCAAAAATCTCAAAAAAAACTCCAAAAAAACCCCAAAAATACTAAAAAAAACCTAAAAAAAAAAAACCCAAAAAAAGCCCCAAAACCTCCAAAAAACTCCAAAAAATCCCCAAAAATCTAAAAATTTGGAATTCCCCCCCCAAAATAGGACCCCCCAAAAAATCACAGACCCCCACCCCAAGATAATTTGGGGGGGAAAATTGGGATTTTTTGGGGGTCCTAAAAATTGGGGGGGAGGGAGGGAATTTTTGGGGTATTTTGGAGGAATTTGGGGCTGGAATTTTTTGGGGTGGGGGCTCTAAAAAATGGGAATTTTTGGGTTTTTCCGGATGTAATTTTGAACAAAACTGTAAAAATTCAAACCTGTGGCGGTGGGCGGGGTTGAAATTAAATATTTTAAAGGGGGGTTGAAATTAAATATTTTAAATATTTTAAA